TTGGACCAAGGCTTGAACAGCGATGGGTAGAGCTTCCCATCGCTGTTTGGCATGGTTCTGGAAGTTGGTTTGGCTAAGGGGCTACTTACCCATCGATGGGATGTTCTTCCCATCGCTGGGTGGGTGGTTAGCCAAAAACCTATGGTTTTTGCCTTAACCACGGCCTAGCCAACCGATGCAAAAACCGACCGAAAAATCCAAAGTTCTCCAAAATAAAAACCAAGTGTTTAAAACACTTATTTGATGTATTTGCCTAAGAAATCAAGTGAGACACTTTAAAAAACACGTCATTTGAGTAAAAACCACGGCTAGCCAAGTTTACGCCGTTTTGCGTGGTTTTTGTCAAACGACTAAAAGCGAGAGATGGTTTTCAAAGTGTTTTTGTTGGAGAACCGTTTAAACATGCCAAAGAGTGAAAGATCATAAAATGCTGAAAACCACTTGGTTGGTTCGGATGCCAAAAACCAAACCCGACAACCGAAAGCCGAACACTGGATCGCTTGGTTTTTGGTTTGGGCAAACACCAAGTGTTTTTAATGACTTAAACAAGTTTGAAAAACATTTTTATGATGTAAGAAATGCAATGAGAGATTTTAGCGTAAAGAGCCAAGGTGTAAAGATTGGGTCGGTCTTGATCACAATAAAGGCCGACTCAATACTATGATTAAGGTCTTCGTTCTTGCTCTTCGTTTAGCTCTTGCTCTTATCTTCGTTCTTCGCCTTGTATATTCAATGTTCGACTTGATCACGGCGGTTTGGCATTATCAAAACCTGTTACAAAAACGAACACGGCTTTAGTACGAAAACGTGACAAGCTCGTGTTTCAACAATTTCCCCCTCTTTGATAATGGCAAACGAGACGAGGTTATGCATAGGAGGATTATTTTGAAAAAAAATGTTCCCCCTTAATAGATGCCATTTTACAAAGTAAAAAAAAATTTCTCCTCAATTTATGCATAACCTTAATATCTTCCCCCTTTTGACATTAACAAAAAGAATTAAAAGTAAACTTTAGAATTGTAAAAGTAAACTTTTATTCATGAAAAAGGGAAATGCGGAATACAACGGAATGGAAATAAAAAATACAATCATAGTAAGAAGAGAGAAGAAAAGTCTAAGCATCGGCGTCCTCGTCGTCATCCTCGTTGTCCTCGACGTCCATGGGATCGCCGTCGACCGCATCTTCAAAGTCGGCCTCGTCGGGGGAGGAGGATGGAGCATAGGAGTTATCCTCCTCGTCCTCGCCTTCATAGTTTTGGTCGAGGAAGGTGCTGTCAAAGGGCGGCGGGACGTAGTTGATGCCGCGGAAGAACGCCGTCATGTCGTGGTGTTGGCGTTGTAGCGTCCAGTCCATCCGCTCGATTGACTGCCCCATGCCATCCACTGTGAGGGTTAGCCGATTCAGAGTATCGGCTATGGATTGCAAAGAGGCCTTGGCGGGAGCGGGGGCTGGTGCACGACTTGGGCCTGCGTCGTCCCGGTCTTCGGACTTCTTCCAGAAGGTGATGTCTTGAATTATCCAAATCTTTGTCATCTTCGTATCCGGGCCGGCGATGGAGATGTCGGCGGAGATGATGAAGTCCATGACGAGGAAGGCGTATGGCAAGCTCCGCTCAGTGGCGATGGAGGCGCAATCCGCCATGTGGATCATCACGAATTTCGCCCAATTGATGGAGGCGCCGTGGATGATGGCGTGAATCGCCTTCAAGTCCTCGTTGAAGAGCGAGGTATGGCTGCTGTCGCGGGGGCGGAGAATCCGGGTGATGATGTAGAGGAGGAGGCGCTTGTCCGGTGGGGCCGAGTGAATCGTCGGTGCGCCGCTGTGGCGGATCAAATTGGTGATCCCAAGCTCACGAATGACGACCGCCTCGTTGTTGAAGATCCAATCGTCGCCACCATAAGTTGCGATGTCGTCACCGCGGATGGGTAGCCCTGCGACCCGAGCAAAGGTAGGCAAATCAATCTCTATGTCGTAGAGATTGATGCTGCTGCGAATGGTGTCCCCGTCACGGCGGAGATTGGAGTAGAAATCCCGGACGAAGGCGGGATTGAAGCTCAAGCGGCTCTTGGAGACGAATGGCCACAAACCCGACGCTTGGAGTTGGTTGTCGAGGGCGTGGTACCCTTTGTCTTGGGGAGACTACTCCGGGAGCACGCGAGGTGGAGAGATCGAGCGCTTGGCAAAGTGAGTGAGGAAGCGTGTGAGTTCACGTATCAGAGCAACCCTGCGACCGTGACGAGCCAAAAAGAGCTTAGTTCACGTAGCGGGGAAGATCTATGGGTTTAAAAAAATAGGATGCAACGAGGACGTTGCATTCCTAAGTGGGGGTGAATGTAATACCCCGTATCAAGATGGGAAAGGAAGGGCTCAAAAGGATTGATAGTACTACTCATACCAACAAGGTGCATCTTCTTTTCGGGAGCTCATCACCTAGAAACTCCAAAGTTATGCGTGCTTGACCTGGAGCAATTTTAGGATGGGTGACCCCCTGGGAAATTCCTTGGGCGCGCACGAGTGAGGACAAAGTGCGCGGGAAAGGCTTGTGTTGGTTTGTGGGGTCAGTCTACAATCCTATGAGCGAACACTTACGGCCAGGGTGTTACAAATGGTATCAGAGCAACCCTGCGACTGTGACGAGCCAAAAAGAGCTTAGTTCACCTAGCGGGGAATATCTATGGGTTTAAAAAGAATAGGATGCAACGAGGACGTTGCATTCCTAAGTAGGGGTGAATGTAATACCCCGTATCAAGATGGGAATGGAAGGGCTCAAAAGGATTGATAGTACTACTCATACCAACAAGGTGCATCTTCTTTTTGGGAGATCATCACCTAGAAATTCCAAAGTTAAGCGTGCTTGACCTCGAGCAATTTTAGGATGGGTGACCCCCTGGGAAAATTTCTTGGGCACGCACGAGTGAGGACAAAGTGCGCGGGAAAGACATGTGTTGGTTTGTGGGGTCAGTCTACAATCCTATGAGCGAACACTTATGGCCAAGGTGGGGGCCGGGGTGTTACGCCAAAGGTTCGACATGTCATCTTGTTGGCTATTCTGACTCGGATTTTGCAGGTTGCAAACTCGATAGGAAAAGTACCAGCGGTACTTGCCACTTGTTCGGTCATTCGTTAATCTCGTGGTTTAGTAAGAAACAGGTTAGTGTTTCACTTTCCACCACCGAAGCGGAATATGTCGCTGCAGGAAGTTGTTGTGCCCAAATTCTTTGGCTAAAACAGCAACTAGTGGATTTCGGCCTTATACTTGATCACATCCCAATTAGGTGTCACAATATGAGTGCTATTAGTCTAACGAAGAACCCCGTTCTTCACTCGCGGATTAAACACATAGAAATTAGGCATCACTTCATACGAGATCACGTCCAAAAGGGATATGTCACAATTGAGTTTGTTGAAACGAAACATCAATTGGCGGACATTTTCACAAAACCCCTTAGTTGGGAGAGTTTCTTCCACATTTGGAACGAACTTGGCGTTTTGGATATCTCTATGAACTAATTCCTTCTTTTATTGACTTTACTAATTTGAGCGTCGGAGGCGCGATAAAATCTTTTTTGCAGGGCTTTTATTTCATGCATCTCTTCCCTTGGTATCAAACCCAAATTGAACTTGATGAACTCTTTTGATTTCTCTGTCAAATTAAATTTTAATCGATTCCTTCTCGTAGAGAAATCGATTAGACGTCTCTGTCCAACTTAATCGATTAATGGCTTCCTTTTTAACCGATTAATATCTTTCAGCACAAACTCCTTGGACTCTATTTCATTTTTAATCAATTAATCTTTGTCTGAAAATCGATTAGACCCGTTTGTGCACCCTAATCAATTAAAGCAATATGTTTAATCGATTATTATTCGATATTTTGTCTCTTAAAGTCATACTGACTTCGTCTTTCGCCACTTTTTCTCAGAACCTCAGCCCCAGCCGTGCAAAACCCTAGCTTTCCCTCTCATCTCATCTCCGGTTTTCTTCACCAATTCCTTCCTTTTTTTTTACCAAAATTCATCAATTTCAAAGAGGGAGGATGCCAAGGTGCAGGAACGCTAACCCGTGTCAAGAATCGGCGGCGGAAGAAGGTGAGCGTCCATGGCGTCGTGAAGGGAGCAAATACATCCACATTCAAACGGGGCTCGCCTTCAACACTAGAGCTTCAGTAGAAAGGTTCCACAACACCTTTCTCACAAAGGAGATCGTCCCACCGAAGATTGTGGACAAGGACCTCTTCAAATCGGCGACCTATGCCCCGAGTAAGTCTTTTTTCTCTCAGCAAGGTTTGCTTTGTTTCATCCATTTGACGTACGAATTCTTTTGTCCAAATCTTATATGTCAATTTTATGCAAATCTTCGTACCACTAAGGGAGACTCGTCATCTCTCATCTCCTATGTTGACGGCAAAACCGTTTATATTGATGGTGCCGGTTTGAACACTCTGTTTGGCCTTCGTAGAGGTGAAATTACCGAAAACTTGGATGAAACATTCCAATATGAGGCAATTTGGAGGCAGCTCGGGTTAGATCATCGTGACCTCAAATTTAGAAATTCTAGTAACCCGAGTGTCATTAACCTCACTTTGATTCAACGCGTCCAACAATACATCTTCTCTTATTTTTGTTGCCCCGTGATTCGAACCATGGCGTTGTCAATAAGGACGATATTCGTTTGTTTCACGTCCTATTGAACAATGTCAAATTTGATTGGGTTCATTTCTTTATCGTTGCACTTAGTGATAGTACTCGCTTTTCCCATCTTTGTTATGCCATCCCTGTCATGCATATCCTTGCTCATTGCAAAGTGGACCTTACTCGAGACACTCAGGTGCCGGTGAAGAAGACTTGCTTCATCAAGGAAACCAAGTTCACCCGGACTGTCTTCCATGAAGAGAGAACCGGAGAGCAAAATCTAGATTTGGTTGTTGCCGACGATGAGGAGAGCGAGAACGGAGCTGAGTCGTCTTGTGTCGGAGGAAGTCGAACCACGGAGCGTGTCACTCGACAACGCAGAACTCGTCTGAGAGAGGAAGCTTCGGAACCTTCTTGGGTGAAGAGGATCTTTGATACTCTCACGTGCATTTGAGATGACGTCCGCCAACTCAACGAGAGGATGACTCGTTTCGAGCAATCCCGCTCCTACCGTGGCCCGCGTCAGAACTTTAGCGGAGGAGCTCGTCCGGTGCACTCTCTTTGAATTTTTGTTGACGTTGCTATGACTTATTATGATACATTGTTAATTGTTATTGTTGTTATAACTCTTTTTGGTGGATGATGATGCTTTGATCAAAGCTAATTACTGTTGTTAATTGATAATGTTAATTGTGTATTGATATCATTGTTGTTTTGCCAATATTTTTCTTTTTTAGAACATATTGTCCCTTTGTGCCATTTTTGTTAGAAGTCCTCTTTTAAAGAAAACTGTTGCAAATTTTTTTTACTATCCTTCAATATTCCGGCATCGATTAAGGGGGAAGGATATCGGTTGATAATTCGAAAAGGGGAAAGGAAGGATAGTTGAGAAAACTTGATTTTCAAAAACGTTTTTCCACTTTTTACTCCGAATTTGTTTTACTGCACTTCTCTAACCATGCAGGGGGAATTAAATTAAGCGAAGTATTTCTTGAACACTTACTTTGCTTTTTCTCAACTATGTTTATCATTATCAAAAAGGGGGAAATTGTTGGACATGAGTTCAAACCCCTTTATTATTTTTCTGGAATATTTTTTGTTTCGATGAATGACAAACAAGATGATTAAATTTCAACGATGATCGAAAATGTATTTTTTCGTATCAAGAAAAGCAAAGAGGCGTATTATTAGTAGTTTTATATGTTGTGCCCACGCCTTAGAGGGGGGGTGAATAAGGCGTTTAAAATCTTTTCGGAGTTTAATAAAAATGGTGTTGGCAAATGCGGAAACAATATATGAAATGCAGAAATAAAAGCGTAAATAAAATGCACACCGATTTTATACTGGTTTGGGAACTCCCTACTCCAGTATCTCGAGGCTCCTCCTCAAGGATTTCCGAATCCACTAAGTTCTGGCCTCTTGAACTCCGTCAAAGCACCGCACTAGTTTGGCAAACAAGCCTTGCCAATAGGATTCACTTTGAGATTTCACAACGGCTATATCGAACCGTTTACAACGAAGATTTAACGGCTATCTTCTACCGCTCCCCCAAGGATTTCAAAGGTTATCCTTGAACCTTTACCCCAAGGATTTATACGGCTATCCTTGACCGTCACAATATGAGAATTTAACGGTGATTTTCGACCGTAAGAAGGTGTGTTTGAAGAACACGAACAAAGGTTCTACATAGTGGCTTGAATATAAAAATGAAGAACAAAACTTAGCCGGTGTAGAACTAAATTATACTCTCTCAAAAATACAATATAAACTTATGAATATGAGAGTATATAACTAAAAACACAAGCTCAAAGTGTGTGTATTAAAATCAGGATCTTAAGGCTCTTAAAATAGCCAAAATATTGAAAATAATTAATAAAAGGATGAACACACTTAGAATAAAGAGAGAGGATGTTTAGAGCTTTGTTTCTTGAAGAAATATGAAGGATTAGGCTTGTATTTATAGTGGAAAAGGTTAATTAGCCGTTGGGAGGTGATTAGGATTCATTAAAGTCAAAATCACAAATCAGGAATAGTAACCCAACGGTCACGGTAGGGGGGTCCCGTTCAGTCGGTAGGGGGGTCCTGTCGAGACGGTAGGGGGTCCCGTGCTTACGGTAGCTAGGTACCTTCTCAGGCCAAAACTCTCTGGCGGTACCTATCCTCTTACGGTACCCCTTACGGTAGGGGGGTCCCGTCCAGACGGTAGGGGGGTCCCGTGCTTACGGTACCTAGGTACCTCATGACCATTTTGACAATCTTTTCATTTTTGTCCAAATCGTTTCTAATTTTATTTAAAACCTTTTGGATGTTTGAAAATGATTATAAAAGGGTTTTAAACATATTTTGTGAGTGTTTTTGAGCTTGTGAATATAGGTATATAAAATCATATCCATACATTGGTTTCTACCTATATTCTACGCTAGTTTGGTGTTTCAACTTCATTCTTGAGTACCAAATCTTAATGGATTCTTGTTGTACCTAAAACACTTAAACAAACGTCAAGCTCTTATATTGTTTGTTAACATCAAAACATGAGGCTTAACAAACCAAGGCTAACACATATCAAGAAATTTATGGTGATAAAAATCAACGCTCTCCCCTGCGCAGTTTTTTTTGAAGTGAAGTGAAGACTCCGAAGACTTTTTATTTTTATTGAGTCTAGGAATTCTTGTAAGGATGACAATGACTTTTGCATAAACAAATTAATTTTGAGGGATAAAAATTATTACTTTTATGAGTCAGTTGAAAAATTATTTTTCTCTGTCTAAAAATATTTTACCAAGTCAGTTTCAAAATAGTGTGTCAAAATTTCATAAAATATTTTTTAAGGATACACAAAAAATTTTTTGTGAGAAAAATATACTTTAAATATTTTTCATGTACATCGTTTGACACACAAAATAATTTTTGGACACACTTTTTTCTCCTCTATTCAAATTCATTGAATAGGAGATATTTTTTCTAAGGAGCGTGCCTTGATATTCCCGTTGTCTCAAAGAACGAGTATGAAGCCAAAGGCTTCCAATTGCAACTGGCCTTGGGCCCTTTGTTCTTGTGTTAGAATAAAAGACCAACGCTAGAGGGGGGAGAATAGCGTTTGATCGAGAAATCGCAGGAATAAAAAATTTAACGGAAAAGTAAAGAGAAGAGTAAGAGGCACACCGAATTTACCCTGGTTCACCACAACTTGTGGCTAATCCAGCCTCCCGAGAGACTCTCTCGAGCTACACTACTCTCTCGTTAAGTTTAACAATGCTTAACAAACCCTTACAACTTGAGAATTCGAGTCACACGAACCTCAATGAATCTTTCGAAGGAAACAACCCTTCCTTTGAATCAACCGAGAGAAATTCTTTCTCTCAACGTGTCTTAGAACACAAATACACTCAAGAACGAGACTCTCTTTTAGAGTAGATATTGAGTAAACAAATTACGCTCAAGAACAACTCAAACTTCACACAAATTGGCTCTAAAAAGCTATGGAAAAAGATGTTGTTTGAATGCAATGAAAGTAGGAGAATTGTGAAGTGAATTGATGTGTAAAGCAGACCCAAACACCCCTTTTTATAGTGCCAAAATAGGCTCCAACGGACCAATGCATTAAAGGGGTGATTGGCTTGATTTAAGGGATTAAATAAATTGTGGATTTGCAGGATATTTGTTAGAATAAGTGACCAACGCTAGAGGGGGGGTGAATAGCGTTTGATCGTAGAAATCGCAGGAATAAAAAAAAAACTTAAAAGAGAAGTAAAGAGAAGAGTAAGAGGCACACCGAATTTTACCCTGGTTCACCACAACTTGTGGCTAATCCAGCCTCCCGAGAGACTCTCTCGAGCTACACTACTTCCGTTAAGCTTACGGGTGCTTAACAAACCGTTACAACCTGAGAACTCGAGTCCCACGAGCCTCAACAACACTTGCTCGGAGATACCGCACTCCAAGACTTCAACCCGAAGGAAAATACCTTTCCTTCGTACAACCAAGGGAAACAAGCTTCCCTTAACGTGTATACAACACTAAGACACTCAAGAACAAGACTCTCTTTAAGAGTAGATGTTGAGTAAACTATATACGCTCAAGAACAACTCAAACTTCCCAAATTGGCTCTAGAAAGCTATGGAAAATAATGTTGTTTGGATGCAATGATAATATGAATAAAGTGAAGTGAATTGATGTGAAAAGCAGACCCAAACACCCCTTTTTATAGTGCCAAAATAGGCTCCAACGGACCAATGCATTAAAGGGGTGATTGGCTTGATTTATGGGATTGAATAAATTTGGGATCTGCAGG